ACGGTGTAATTAAGCTCGTAAAAATATAATTTCACCGTCGTCCAATTTAAGCGTGCCCCGTTATCCTGGATTATAGTCGGTATCGCCAGCTACGTAAACGTTACTCCCCCGGCCGTTAGTCAAATCACCGAATTAATAAATTGAAACGAACCGAATTCGAGGCATGGATCGGTTCAATTTCAATTCAAGTAAATTCGACCGTACACCGTTGCTCCGTTTAATTCGTTCCGATTTCAATTGAAATTATAGACGAAAATGTAAAGAGGAGAGATAACGTCATTCGTCGTAATAATATTTTGTAAAAAGATCTAACCTTGGAATAAATGGAATTTAATTAAAATTTATTTACACCTGTATCCCCGCGAAAGGATACCTGAAATTTAATTAAATCCTGTAATAAGAGAATGCGTTGTGTTTAACAACGTTCGTGCAATTTCTGCTGAAAATTCTCGATCGTTTCGTAGATGCGAAACTCGAAGCACGTACGGTATAAAGAAGTGTATACACACGTGGCAACTGAAATTGCTTCTTAGACTTTTAAAACAGAGTGGAAAAACGGGGATCGATGCAGCCGGTGGTCGTGAACGTAGGTCAGTCAGTTGCTGTTTTGTATAATATCAAACTGCAAACGATAACGTTATCAAACTTCTAATTAAACAGCAAGTGCCATCTAGCGTTAATTTTATGTCATTAAATCTTATCAGACTTTCCATACTTTAAAATTGGTTATTCTTCGTTACAACTGACGACCAGCCATTTTGTATTAAAAATATTGATAAAACGTTTATATAGCCATTTTCCTGAAACTTTAAGCTTTAAATTGATATACGATAAGTACCATTTTATGATACTTTTATGTGATGAAATCACGCCAGAAGATTGATATATTTCGAAATTGATGATTCGGTCAGGGCCGGCCCTGGACCTAGGCAGACTAGGCGGCTGCCTAGGGCCCCCATAAGACGATTTCGCATCTTTTTTTTTTAACGAGGGGGGAAATGCTTTGCGCACGTCGGGCGAGATGTTAATTGCCCGCTAAAAACCCTACCGAAGGGGACACTGAGGAAAAAAAATTCCGAAATCGCCACACAGTATTATTTCAGGGGGATTCTCGAATATTATCCGCAAAGGTCGATTTTGTGTCTAAGAATGCAAGAAGAGTAATGTTTACTTGAATATTAATCGATGTAAATTAAAATCTAAATTAGTTATACAAGCTTTAATGTTAATTTTATAAATTTTTTTATAACTCGCCTCGGATCCCCGAAATCTTAGGGCCGGCCCTGCGTTCGGTATGTCTGGGTACCGTGTAATATTTACTCTAATGGGTAAACACATAGTTTAATTAATTAACATTGATGAAAAGTGCAGGACGTTTAAAGCCTGATCGAGACAGCACAGCGTGTATAATTGAAAGTAACCGAGGGGAGGAAAGTGTGTGTTCGCGAACTCTGCCTTTCGCTGTAACTAATTATCCACCGTGTAGCGGTTAGGTTTCACGATGCACCTAATGCATTTACCTGCACACCGGCGCTACTCTATACTTTACACACAACCGTTTGGTAGCTACAGAAATTCGACTGGCGTTGTTGCTAATGATTAATTGCAAACCTCCCGAAAACCGCACGGTTAGACACACGAAATTCGATCGTTAAATGATTTTCATTTTAACGATACGAGAAATTTAAATATTGATCGTTAGTAGGAGCGTGAAGTTGAATAATGGCTGAGTAATTTTCAAGCAGTTATAGACAAAAAGACGTTTCGTCTCGGGATCGTCTGCCAGACTCGTCAGTGGGGCTGACGACAGACGATCCCTGCCCCAAACGCCTATAACCCCGCTTTCCGGAACTCATGAATCGCATGCCGGGGGACCACTAGCGAGAACAGACTCAATCCCTCTGCCACCTGGTGGTCGCCGACCCAAGCTAAGGGCGTCCAGGGGAGACTCGCCGCCTTCCCCTTCCGCTAAACGCCTACACAGTGTTCATTTTTGACCCGAGCCTCGGGTTAGGTCGGGTAATAATTATTTTACCACTGACGAGAACCAAAAAATTAAAACTACTGGAAAATTAATATTCAGATTTGAAAAATAAAGGATTGGAAATGGAAATGGGTAATTTTGAAAAATGTTTCTTCGCAATGTTTTCCGAATGTTTCGGGTATCCGCGTTCCAAAAATAGAAAGATCAATCCGAATCTCGTAAGCTCAAGCACAATTCGCGTTAAATCCCGTAATCCACTTAGAACCGGGGTAGGCAGAGGGCTGGCTATTCAAAGACCGGCTGCACTGTAACCTTTTAAACGTCTCAAAGGACTGCCAGGGAAACTATGTGTATTCACAAAGCTTCCCGTACGCTTTCCAACGAATTTTTCTCCAAGTTTACATACCATGAAAGCGCAACCTTCAATCACGATAAATCCTCCGTTATCTCTATTTCTCTTTCATCTTCAAGGTTATCGTTTTCCCTTGAACGCAGCCGATAAAATGACGTCTGAAGTCAGAGATTCACCGCGGTCCTCATTAAACGTCGCGATTAAAAACGAAGAGAATGAACCGAGATATTAAGGGGATGAAATCAGGGCGCGGCAGAGATTCCGTCGTTTCGCAATTACGGCCGGCGCCGGCTCGTTTCCCGGAAACTCGAGATACCGCGCTTGAAACGACGTTACACGGATATCCGGGGGAAAAAATAATGTAATCTCAGGTCGGTCGCGAACGAACCTTCTGTTAAATTAACGCTGATTTCACGAGACCGTCGCGAATTCTCTGTTTAACCTTAAGATTAGATGTTTTTTCTTATCCAAATAGAAATACCGGGGCGGTTAAATGTTTTTTTAAATAAATAGCTCTATCCAGAGTCTTAGATGGGATATACATTTTCCAATTCGTAGCCGGTACGTGTGACCGTAAATAAATAAGAAGCAGAGGGATCAAAAGAAAATTGAATCTGACCGAAAACACGACAGCGTTGGGTTGCGATATCGGATTTGTCTGGGAACAGATTTTCTTGCAATACGAGCTTTCCAAAGGATAAGAAGCTTCTACTTGCCGTTCGAGACGGAAATGCGAGAGTAAGCTAAAAAGCGTTGCAAACGGAATAATATTACCACTTGGAAGACGTACATCCCTTCGCGTCAGAATACGAGACCACTCGAGGGAGAGCCCTTGTACGGAGAATAGACGTGTCCATCAAGAATTCTCCATTTCAAATTCTTCATACGTTGTTTTACCAAACGAGAAAATTCCACCAATTCATTTCTAACAAATCTAATTAATTATTTAATAAGAATTTTTCAATTCTTTCGTAACGATAAAAAGATAAGTGCAATTTTTCCAAGTTACAGGAATCGTGTAAAAAATACACATACACTCGTGAGAGATAAAACGATTCGATAAGAAAAGAAAGCATCCTCTGGGATGGTTCCAGGAAAAAGTGGCCGTAAAATCGCGAAGTTTACCCAACTTTTGTTTTCTCGTGCCACGTTTCCGGTACGATTGTCGTTGCCGAGCCAACGAACTTACAGACGCGGTATTACAGCTTGTAAATATTTTTACAATCCATTGCACTTTGGGAATTTTCTCGATTCCCCGCAGTCATTCTTCTCTTGCAAATAAAGAAAAATAAATAAATGCATTGTAAAATTGTTATACACTCGTGCAAGTGTATTAGTATCATGGTTTGAACGTAGCTAGACAGCAATGCTATATCGGTAGCGTTGCAGGGTAGACCGGGTATGGTTGTCATAATTGTTATAAAAAAGAAACTAAAGAATAGAAATGTACTCAAATTAGTATCAAGACACGACGAGTAATTATTAGTTTTGATAGACTTGAAGTAAATTTTTGCAATATCTTTTTTATTAGATAAGTATATTGGTTTCTTAGTATCGATTACAACGGCTTTAAAATCCGATAGTTTAGAGTTTCATCTAACTTATTCTGACGATCTTTTTGCATTTTTCGAACTTCGTAATAAATGAGTGGATAGTTTAAATTATTTAACGGTGTAGGTTAAGTTGTCAGAACATTTGGGATTATTTGTCATATGCATTCAGACGATTCTGATTGATAAGTTTGTTATAACTACTTTTAATTTATTTTTAATCATTTAGAATTCTTAATTTCATTATAAATATGTAAAAATTTAATTTTATATTTAATATTGTTTGAGATTCATTTCTAATTTTTTTTTCTAAATATTTTCAATTGTAAGTTTAATTCTGTGTTCAAGACTATACAGTTTCTTAGTTTCATTATTACTTTGTGTTCGAATTTCAGAATGAAACTTTAAATATAAGAGGCTTTTATAACGTAAGTGATAACATTAATAATAAAATTATTCCTTTTTCAATTGAATTGATTTTTTCTTAATAAATTTGGCTATTTATATGTGTGACAACCAACCCCAGCTCGGGGTACATTGTCACAAAGTAATTACAACAGATAATATGAATTAACTCAGAATCTTATTGATAATATTGATAAAACGAATTTTTTTTATTTTAAATTATGTCTGAATAAACTTTTCTGCAACTATAACCTGTAAAAAATAAAAATAAAAAAATCCAACATCCATACCCGGTCTCCCCTGCAGTGTAAAAATGACACGCAAGTAGTAGTAGCCGATATATGGTCAGACGTCGGGACACAGAATTAGCATACGGGTCTGGCGCGTTTTACACGGCTATAATTTATAAAACGACCTATGTCCTGTTCTCCTCAATTAAATCTATTTTCCTTCCTAAAGAAACACCGCAGCTGGCGTTTCTTCGGGCACCTGATACTTAAAAAAAAAGAAAGCATGATTCGAATTTAAACGAGTCTAAATTCGTTCTAACTGAATTCCTTGCCAATCGTATGAATATTACAAAGCAATGCGACGATTCCGCTCGCAAGTCATCCACGTGTCTGTCCATATATCGAACGTTGGCGGAAATTACACCGGAAGAACACGAGACGAACCGTTTAAGTAGTAAAATCCGAATTTTTGTCGACAGCCGACGCAGGAATCGCAGTCGCGGCGGAAATGAAACAACCGGAAGAGAGGACCGCCGAGGAGAAGATGGCATTACTGGGTAAACCGAAGTTGGGAGAGGTGTCCAGAGCACAGATAAGGATCAAGGAATCAAAGGAGTTCAAGAACACGGTTGACAAGCTGGTTCAAAGGGCCAACGCCTCTATATTACTCGGTGAGTCGACCTTTTTCCGGATCAACCCTTTCCTTTTCTAAGATTTTCTTATTCCAACATCGTTCATACCCAGAATATTTTATGAAGATAAAAACTAGAATACTCGAATTTATAAATAAATTCTTATACCAGCATAGTCTCGAGTGAGGATAGTTTACAGTGGATGATTAAATTATTAGAGCCACTCGCATAAATTGATGATTTTACATAAATATCATTAACACTAGAATTACCGGCGTTTGATGCACACTTATTTTTAAGTTAAAAATAATATTGAAAATTAAATAGACAAAGGATGAAACATAATTTAATGTACCTCGTTAATAGCCATAAATTAAAAATAAGAAATTTGAAATTAGTCATTTTGACTTGGCGGTTCTAGTGTTAATTCTTAAATGAAAATCGAGTTAAACGGAGTTTTTGATATTTTTTTATGATGTATTGATACTTGAAAAATTATGACACACCGTTGAAAAAAATGAAAGTTCTTGACTGGCCTGGAAATTCTCCGGGCCTCAACCCCATCGAAAATTTGTGAAAATATTTATTATTAATAATAAATGTCGATTAATCGAACGTTTGATAGAAGTATGGACCAGAAATAAAGTAATCAAAATGAATTGCTTAAAATGCAGTAATTGCAGCAAAAGGCGGTATAAATATGATCTTTAAATGTACTTGTTTATTCTTATAAGTACTTTTTTTGTATATTATTAATGAAGGATTATTGATTAAAAGTTATTCAACGTAAATACCTTAAAATTGTGGCTCTAATTCTATACAAACACGAAATACCTACTTTTCTAACAATGGCTCTAATAATTTGATCACACACTATACATTGAAGTTATTATCAGACTAGAGATCAGTGTCCTTTGTGATATCAAATTCCAAAGTTCCATTCTCAAGAGGGTTCGAGCGGAAAGTCTAGAATCGTGAATCCGACTGCGACGAAAGTTCAAACGAACTCTGTAAATCGACGACGGTTCTATCGCTTCGCGGCTCCTTTTGTTCGTTGGCTCGTTTTGCATTTCCCCCCCTCTTCCTTTTGTGAAAAGAAATTCTCTCTAGCACCCAAAGACACGCCTTCCTCTCGCCGCGTTGATAAAGCGTTCTTGATCGATAGAGTAGTTTCGTTGCTTTCGAAAAAAGAAAAGTGGATTCCGAAAGAAAGAAGAAGCGAATTAATGGATCGTGGTTGGATGACGAATGGATATCTTTAAAGAATCGTCTGACGAGTAATTCAATCCTTTATCGCTTTATAATGGTAACGCGATTCGATTGATTTATCGATCGCCAACGTGTCTGGCGAACCGAAGGACATCTTCGTTAATTAAACAAGATCTGGTACAATTTCGCGAGGAGAATTGCTTTCGAGATTGACACGACTCTCTGCGAAACCATTGTCCAAGAACACTATCTCAAAATCTATTCAAGATCAACTTAGAGCATTCGGAATTCCCGAGGCATAAATCTTGCTTCGATATGTTTGATACGATTCTGGATAACTTCCATGGAAATCGATAGGTGAAAAGATTATTTGATTCCCAGGAACCAGCTCCTGGAAGGAACAATTCACGGAGGCACTGACGGTCAGCGGAGGGGACGAGGACGAAGGCGAAGGAGCTGGTGAAGCATCCGCCCCATCCACCATGGACTATCTCATGCATTCGGTCACGATATTTTGGAAGGTGCTGTTCGCGTTCGTGCCACCGACAGGTAAGTCACCGTATCGAGTGCCTCTCGAAATAATGGACGCTTTTTACGGTTTACCGGAAGGGGTAGGAGAATATCTTAGAGTGGTTTCCGGCGGCGCTGCATCTGGCACGCGTAAGTTATATGTTTGCCAAGTGTCCCGTGAAATGTCCTGACATCGGATGGAATAAATTCATTCTCGAATAATTTTTTGAAATTAAATATAGATATCATTTTTCCATTTTTAACAAATTCCTGTTCATTTATTTTTTTACGAGGGAGAAAGATGTATTCTCAATTTTTTGAAATTAAATATAGATATCACTTTTCCATTTTTAATAAATTGCTGTTAATTTATTTTTTTACGAGTGAGAAAGACGTATTCTCAATTTTTTGAAATTAAATATAGATATCATTTTTCCATTTTCAATAAATTGCTGTTAATTTATTTTTTTACGAGGGAGAAAAATGTATTTTCAAATAATTTTTTGAAATTAAATATAGATATCACTTTTCCATTTTTAACAAATTGCTGTTAATTTATTTTTTTACGAGGGAGAAAGATATATTCTCAAATAATTTTTTGAAATTAAATATACCTAGATATAATTTTTCCATTTTTAACAAACTGCTGTTAATTTACTTTTTTTACGAGGGAGAAAGATGTACGATATTTCGCTGTCTGAAAGGAAAAAGAATCGGCAGGATTTTACCTGAGGGGACGAAACGTAGACATTCCCCTGACGAAAAAGATCTTCCCACGGGTTTTTACTTGTGGACAGGTAGTGAGTTAGTGGAACACATACAATCCGTTAAGCGTTCAACGCTGCCAGGGAGGAGACTTTTATTGCAAGAAAGGCTCCCGCCGGAAATGGAAATCGTGCATTCCCCGCGGAGTATGTTTGTCCTTTAAATTCGAGCCTTGAATACGTTTCTCTTTCCTTGACACCTTCTTTCGTTCTTGATCCCTTCAATACAAATGACATTCATATACGTTCCTCGAAAAGGTTGTACAATATTTTTAAAAAATTTACGAAGAAATTCAACAAATAGTTTAGAAGGTGTAAAATACACAAACGTAAGGGGGTTGTAATAAAATTGAGAAGAGAGCAGAAATAAATGAAGAAGAGGGAAGGAAAAGCTATTAAGAAGCTCGTCTGCCTTGCAGGATGTTTATGTGGCAGCGATATTGAAGGTCCGAGTTTACCCAGAGGAAATAGCTATCTACCATGACAACTACGAATGATGATTTGGAGAAGTGAAATCATCGATGAAATCCATATCTCTTCCGTCCTATCCAGGAAATAATGATAGCATTGTTTGCTACGCTGTTATTTCTACAAATTGACCGCTATAAAATTTATATCTTGCATCCTGTGAAATGGTCTATCACGAACAATTGAAAAGAGAGAACCGTTGATAACAGGAACCGAGAAATTAGTGATATGATGGACCCTCTTGTAGATAGAAGGATGCCCATTGCTTTTGTAGGGTTCCTCTGGCCCCCCTTTTTGCGGAGAGGCGCCAAATCCCTACCAACTCATCGGAAATTTTCTAAATAATTATATGATGAAAATGAAAAGGGGACTGTTGGTTTTTCTCTTTTAAGAAGAGAAAGTTTTTCATTCTTTTACAAAGACCATCGACGTACGTATTAAGTTTCTTTTTCGAGGCACAAGTCAAGAGGGTGCAGCTGTGTCCCTTCTTGGCTTATTTAGACAACGAATAGGACCGATAGAGTCTATGGGTACGTGACGAATTCTTCGTCACTGACCTGTTTGTAGTCTGACTGTTTCTTTCGAGCTGTACGGGCGTGTCCTTCCACGTGCTTAAATAAAGGTTTTATTTAAAGTATTTTTTTCTATTTTTATTTTTTGTTTCACCACCTATTTCCAATAGGGACGAAACTCGAATGAGCTACTTTTCAATAAACAACTTGTTTAAAATTGCAACGAATATTTTAGCAACGAATGCGTCGTTCAACGTCTCGTCTTGAAACGCTTCCGCCAATCCGGATTGATTACACATTTTTTATTGAAACATTGTCAATAGCATGATTGATCAACGTACAATATCGAGCACTTTTTTTACAGAGTTTCGGTAGTAGATATTTTTAATGGAACTGCAGCGTATGTAACTTAGGTTTCACTTTTAGTTTAAGAAAAATGTCACCTTATTTACCTACATTTTTATCTAGGAAGATAGGAAGTTCCATGATGTCTTTTAATAAAGATGTGTCGAGGTTTTCTATTAACAGATTATTGTATATTTATTGTTATAATATTACAGTTTGGATATTAATTAATATTCGAATATAATCGAATATATTGTATTATTGATACATGGTTCGATATAATATTGTTCTATATATTCTCTTTCAAAATTCAATAAATGATAATATCGTCGTGAAGTGCTTACTAATATTCAGAATCTAAGCGCCGCAGAAACTCATCCGTGGTGGCATGTTCATGTTCAGATAAATCGTCACATTTCCTGGTACTGATTTCAGCATACCTGTTTCGATGTATATAATAGGGTTACCGTCCAGGTAAACCTCTTTCAAAGCGTCGTAAGTCAAATCAAATATAGAATTAATCGAAGTAAATTTGTTCCCCGATAAATACAAATATCGAAGTTTCTTCATAGATTGATACCAGTTTCTTGGCAAGTGAGTCAGCTCGTTATCGTTTAAATATAATTCCTCCAACAGCCTTTGAGATTTAAACGTTCCAGGGAAAATGTTCAAAATCCTGTTTCCGGCTAAAGACAACTTTCTCAGATGGGGCAACATATATAACGAGCTTGACTTTAAATAAGTTATATTGTTACAATTCATCGACAATGTTGTTGTATTCGATGACATTATTAGTGGGATATCATCAAAGTTATTGTTATCCAATATAAGAACTTCCAAAGAGGTCAAAGGTGTAAATAATTCAGGACTAAACGCTGTCAAAGCGTTATTAGAAATATTTAAGTATCGAAGCTTAACCGTGTGGTTGAATGCAGTTCCGCTAATATAATTTATTATATTATGCGCTACGGAAAGATGTTCTAAACTACTCAGCCCCCTCAGATCAAGATCATAACCATCGCCTATACTTTTAATGCTATTATCAACCAGGTTAAGCGATATCAAATTGTTTAATTTATTGAAGGAGACCGTTGAAATTCGATTGCGATTAAGATTCAAATACGTAAGTGATTCGTTCCACAATTGTACGAAATTGAACGAGGAGAACTGATTGTCCGAAAGATCCAGATACGATAATTGTGGAAAAGGATTAAACACGGTGTTTGATATCCTCGAGATCTTAGTATTCCTCAAATTCAAATATCGAAGTTTAGGATACACGGCGTTCACTTCTAATATTGTATCGTCCGTGGCGGGTATATCGTAATCATCGATATAATAGTACGAGGGTTGAATTGTATCTTTCGTCCTCTGATCATTAAGACTCAATGCCGTGATGTATGAAATGTTACCGAATGAGAATAATTTATTCGGACGAATCCGGTTTTTTTCAAGATTTAGATAAGCCAAATTTGGCATTCCATCAAAGGAGCCCTTCTCCAAAGAATAGATATCATTGTTTACAATGCTTACACATCTCAGATTGGGAGACTCAATAAAATTAGCTGAAATTATACCACCAATGCAACCTTTCATCGTTAAAGTCTCGTTTTTGCAAATATTTGGGTAATCCGCGTATTCAAAGAAATTTCCAAGAACCAATAGCGGCGAAAGAATTAGTATTGTCACTGCAGCCAACATCTTCGTAGCTGTAAAATTTCATAAAAGAGAAATCTATGATTATTTATTGATTTGTTCACCTTTCAATGAAGATTTTTGCTTTTTTGATTAAAAAAATGTTTCTTGAAGACTTATAGATCTTATAGTGAAATCCGTTGAAATAAGACGTGGTCAAATTCGATTTTCTCGGAAATGAAAATTTTATTTTTTGTTTTTGACTTATATTTTCACGTTGAATCTGTCCCTATCCGCTTGTATCGCCAGCTACACGACACACTGTATATTAATGATGTACTTTGATTAAAATAATTATAATTATCACACACTAATTTCCCAAATATGAAATGGTTGGTTACCAGTTATAGTAAAAGCGAAACATTTTATCTTTTTGCGCTGTTTTTTTCTACCCACCTTGTTTAAATACGATGAAATGCGAAATACATCTACTGCGGAACGTTGACTACTATTAAATGAAATCTATCCTGTCGCTTTCTTATATACAGTCTTATCGCTTGAAATGTGATAAGCAGAGATAGAATATAGCAATGAATACGTGACGATTCCCCGTCAGTATAATTGAGAATTAAACAGAATATTTATAAACGAAAGCATAATAAAGAAAGGAATAAATTATATTTTCAAAAATATACAGATAATCTAACTTATCTTGAGAAAATACATAGAAAATGATTAAAACTCTGTTCACATGCGGTTTCGTTTTTCAGAAAATTGGGTTTGACAATTGTTCAACAAATATTTGTAAAAGAATTCATTTAGATAACAATTCTGTCCATTATAATATACAAGAATTAAAGTGTGATAATTAATAATATTATTTAGATATAAAAGACTACTTTTTTTTTTTTTCATTTCATAATTTTTCACATTATTGGCCAATTAAAACAAACCTTCCGAAGAGTTAAAATAACATTTCGCCCACGGTATTTCGTCACGGATCGACTGAAATTGCCGGGAGCAAGCTGGTGGTATTCTTTACACTCCGTTTCCGATAATAGGTCGCGGGAAATTGTAATTGTGACCCATTGACGCAGTGTGGTTGTCGTCAGTTGACCGTAAAGGCTTCCTGATCGATGCACCGGGAAATAGTAGCACGTGTCATCGTTGTGACGAAAAAAATATCACTCTATCCCTCCGGCGACCTTTACACTTCCGTCTCTTTTTTCTCAATCGGTACGAAATTTCCATATTTTTCAATAAACGAGATAACAATAGACGAGACACGCAAGTAATCTCTGAATCGATGTCACGT